ATTCCTGCTTCTTTGCGTGTCCAGAGCTGCCTCCCTCAGCAGAGGATGGGGTGTCTGATGGTTGCCTTAGTTTCATTGTGATCCAGACTTCAGGCAAGTCAGTGTTAAGTGTTTCATGAAGCCTGATGGGTAGGTGCAGTCTGATTGTATCTGGCACTGTGACATGACTGGGTTTGTTTATATTTACATAGAAGTTCAGCTGCTAATTTTTTAAGAAGGTAAATGGAGGAGAAAACTGTTGCCTCAACTTTTAGGAACTTGACTGCTTACTATGGAAGCTTCGTAGCAAGTCTAGCCTTAGGTCCTAAATTCTTGGTTATAGTTCTTTTTGTAGGCAAAACATCACTCTTCAGTTACATAGCAGTAATAACAGGTCAAGGTCTTAATTTGGTTATATGAATCCATTCTCAACAACTTGTGTTTTCCAATTCTTTTAACAGTTGCTTTTTCAAAAAAGCTGTAACGTGCAGCAGCACCTGAGAAATAAATGACTATTTTGAGTTTATAGAGCATCCTGTCAAAGGGCATTAAAAATGCCTTTTTTTTTTTTTTTACAAGCAGTTATTCTAGCTTCATTGCTGCTCATGGTCTTTTTAAAACAGCCTTGTTTATCATGATCAACATCCCCTAGTATTGTTATAAACTGGAATTTTTAAAGGATTTGCTTTTTAAAAAAACATAATTTTTGAGGCATCAGTTCTCATATCAGAGAATAGGTGGGTCACAGAAAAGTGTCAGAATTATCCGTACTGAATGTCTTTTGGAACCTCATCAAGGGCAACGGAAAGCTGTCCAGAAAGCGTCTGAAGAAATAAATTGAATGATGCTTTTCCTAAATGATCTTGTTTTGTGATATGTTAGCACGAATGCCACATGCAAGACAAAGTACAAGTTCTGCTTGTCTGCCCCTTGTTGAGTTTAATGTCAAGTGTTTAATGACAAGATTTTCAATTGCTTCTTCAGTTGACCACTGCAACTAAATGAAGAAGTAAACTAGCTGTCAGCACTGGAAGGTTGTTATCCCCTGTAAAACCAGTTAGAAGCGAGACACATTTAACTTTCTAATAGAATGAATTAAATATGCAGGAGTTACCTCATTTATTCACCCTCACGCATATTCTCTAGACAGTGTGAGAGACAAAATATTTGTTAGGGAGACTGGGAATCTGTAGTATTCAAAACTGGTAGTGATAATCTGGTATTGTTGAAGTCTAAGATAAGTTTCTATTGATTTCTTTTATTCAGAGTTTCAGCTTAGATTGTATCACTACTTCTCCCATAGCTGAGGTAAATTCTGTAAACTTTATTGCTAGATAAAGATGTTGGCACTGATGCTATGGAGTGTAAATTCGAATGCACTGCAATTTTTGTTTCTTAGGAGTTTGGTTTTTTTTAAGTTGGTGTTGTTTAGGGTTTTTTAAATTAAGGTGCCAGAAGAGGGCTAAAAAAAAATCCTGAAGGTACAAATTTATTTTGAATGAGTCTAGTTGTTACAGGACACAAGTCTGATTTGGACCATGGATATCTTTTCCTTCGGAGAAGAGGCTGATTTCATTGACATTAATATTTCTCCTAAAAATGAGTGCTGAATTTCTGGTTTCCATGAGATGTGGATTTACCTGTTGAGTTTGAATAGGGTAAAATGCATAAGGGATGAGGAACATTGGGGAAGAAGTTAGTGTGTAAATCATCTGCTTGGATCTTCATTTAGAATTTTAGAAGTAAAATCAGCTTAGAATTGCCTATCATAAAGCTGCATTTTTTTTTTCAAGAATTACATTAGAAATAACTTTCAAAATGCAAACACTGCATCACCACTGGCTCAATGGGAGTGCTGCTTTCTGCCACTGGCAGAGACTTTGGCAGGATATAGGATCTATACACTGGCTCTGTAATCTTTAACAACCGGCTTCAATTATCCTACAGTACCATAGGTGAGCTGTTAGAGAGGAGCATACAGATTCATCTTATTGTGCAATGAGTCCAGCTGGATTCAGAATGCTTTTCCATGACTAATGTTCTCTTTTATATTGGTTCTGGTATTTCTCTAAGAAACTTTTATCTGTTCTGATGCCAGCTTTATTAAATATTTAAAAATGCTTCTGTCTTACTTAATATTTGTGGGGAGAATGAATTAAATTGGATGTAATCCTGTAAGAGAAAAGAGAATGTAGGATGAAGGCTATGAATTGTAAGACTCTGTATAATGAGTACAGTTACCATCTTGAAAAACTAGAAAACTACCTGAAAATAAAAGGAAATGATGACTGCATTTAAAGAAACAATAGTATCTGTCTGCTTGAATATTTTATGATTACTTTAATGTTGTGTATTACCTTGATGAGTTCTTTCATACCTGACTGGGTTTTCTTCATCAGAAGAATATTCCATTTTCAGTTATAGCAGTAGACTACAGTTAACAGTTGAAATGAAAACTCAAAATTGTAAAAATCCTGAAGATACATTAATATTTCAATTAATGAACTCTATGGTTCCACTTCACCAAAACAGATAATTTTGACAGGTATCATTATTTCAGGTCATGATTTGAAGCAGGTTAATAAGCTGATCAGCCAATTTTGTGGCTTAAGAAGATTGTATGACACAAAAATCTTTCATTACATAGGATTTTGGTCTTATTTATTTATAGAATTTTGGAGAAAAGGCAGTGCAACAAATAATTTTAGCCATTTCAAATACTGGGTAGTTCTGTTTTGTGATAGGATTGTTGCAGCTTTGGCTGTTGCTAAGTATTTATATCTTCCCTTGTGTAGCATGTCTAACAGTTTTATTTTCTACCTCATCTTTAAAGATTTTTAGATCTTTATTAATCTCAAAAAGACTTCCACTACATGTGTGCTGGTTTCAGTCAGGAAAGAGTTAACTCCCTTTACCGTGGCTGCTAGAAAGCTGAGTTCCTGGATGCAGGGAGCAGCACTGGTAAGTTCTCAGCTGGCGCTGGGGAATGCCTGCACCAGGTTCAAGGTCTTTCTCTGCTTCTGATCCTGCAGCTGCATTCCCAGCGCTCGCTGTCTCACTACAGGCAGTGCAGGGGACACACAGTTCAGGCACCTGACCCAAACTGACCAAGGGAGTATTTCATTCCATAGTACGTCATGCTGGGGGCAGAGGTGAGGAGGGGTTCTGGGACTGGCGGGGGGAAGGGGGGGGGGGGGGTTCGGGGAGCCACTACTCTCTCTCCCTTACTCTCTCTTGTTCACTCCTGTACACGTGCAAACACTCTCTGACTCCTGCGTTAGCTGTTTCGCTAACTCCCGTGCTGGCTCATTCGTGAGAGAGTTGGTGGGTTTGTTTAGTTTTCCTGGTCGTGCTATTGCTGACAGGGTTCGTTCAGAATCTTCTGCGGTAACTCCCAGGCTGTGGCCCTTGGGCTGCGGTTCATGGGCTGCGATCGCTCTTGGGCTGTGGCTCTCATGCTCTCTGGCTCTGACTCACTTCTCAGCACCTGGTTGTGCACTGGTCAGTGCGTGGTGAGAAATTGTATCATTATTGAATCATATTGTATCATATATTTTATTTTCTACTATTTTAATTACTTATTATTACTAGTATTTGTATATATTCAAATTAGTAAATAGTTCTTATCTCAATTTTATGGGCTTCCTTGTTTCTTTTTCCTCCAATTCTCCCCCTCCACTGTAGGAGAGGAGGGGGAACCTGAGACTGGCTTTGTGGTATTTGTGGCTAGCCAGAGTTAAACATGGTATGTAATTGAAACATACTGTTTTGAAGCATTTGAAACATAGAGAATAAAATGTTTTCCTTGATATAATACTTCCTATGTTTATTTCATGGTATCTTGAAAAAAATATAAAAAAATCAGTAAGTAGAGAAAAGTCTTAACTTTGCTGATATGGTAAAATAAAGCATGTATCCTGAAACTATTGGAAAGACTTGGACAGAGATCTGCATAAAGCTTTGCTTCCACAGTGTATGGGGAAAAGGAAATTAAAAAAAATGTAAAGGTAGTAATTTTTTTTATTTCGATTCCTCATACTGTTACTTTTTTAAATCTAGCTGGTATTGCAGCAATAATATTTTCAGAGATGCTGTTTGCAATTTGAACTCCTCACTGAAGGCTGAGTTCATGTAAAGATATCAGTCAGTAGCTCATGCACGCAATCCTGAAAACAAAATATGGGGAAGTATAATATAGTATTTAATGACTCTCAGTGCCACTGGTTGCATATTCTTATAGGTGTACTCATAGCTATTTAAACCAAATCATAACTGCAGCTCTGATTCATGCTGAGCACTAATTGCTCACATGGCAATGTCTCTATATATGCACACATCAGAAGATTGGATTTAGAAATGTAATGGCAGAAATAGCAATAACTTTTTAAAAAAAAAAAAAAAAGAAAAAGAAATACAATGCTATCATCTTCCTCCCTGCCCTTCCATTAACAATTTCACTCCTGTTAAAACCACTGGAAGAACGAAGCCACGTGAAAGCAATTCCTTTTAATAGAGGGAGCTTCAGTTGTTATGTTTTGAGCTGCTTTGCCATCTCTATATTGCAGATATCCTTGTTTCATGTTAAGTCCTGTTTTTTTTATATTCTGTGTAGATGTCAGTCATGCTGAGTCCTTCACATTGGGCATCATATTTAATTAAAAATAACTCTGCATGTTGAAGCCTAGCTTTAGACACCCAGTATTAAGAATTTGGCTTTAAGTGGCCCACATTAAACTTTAGTCCAGTTTGGACAGATCCTAGTCATTCACAGATGGTGCTGTTTTATTATATCTCTGTCTGTTACTAGAAAATTTATTAGCACTGTGGTACTGCCAACTACTGATGATTGTAAATATCTCTTCAAATATTTGTACTGTGTCAAAATAAGTTTATTTTCAGGCAACTAATAGTTTGGTTTAAATGTCAGAACTCATAGACTTGTTTGATGTTTAGAAAAAGTTATTTACAGATTCTCACAATTTTTTTATATGTTGTAGTTGAGAATTTTTCCATTGAATGTTAAATTGCAAAGGTTGTTTTTGTTTCTAATTAGACATGCTACTTGAAATTCTTTTCCTGTGTGTTTATTAAGATTGCTTGAGCTGCTTCTAAAAATAAGAATTAATAGAGTATATTTTTATTAAATGGTTGCTCATGTTCCTTTGGGTTGAATTGACTAACAGGTTTGGGGTGTTGTTTTTTTTCTTTCCTTCTAGCATTGTTTGAATACCTTGTGTTCTTATTTAGGATCTTTGATTTACAAGAGAAAGCCCTGGGTTTTTTTCAATTACACCATAATCTTGTAATTTTTGCCAATATTGTCATACTTCATGATCTAAATTATGTATAACATTGAAGCTGGAATGTATTCAGGAGTGATACAAACTTCAGAATCTGATCAAAAACCCCTAAAGGATGTGAGAAGGTGTAACTGAATCTTTCATAATGGTTGTGCATCTAACTGCAACTTACAAAGAGAAGGTTATTCTCATTTGTCATGATATCTAGTAAACAAAACCAACAGTCATTTAATTTCAGTTGTTTCCCTTCTGGCCTAATTCTGATCCCAGTATGGTAAATAAGCACAAGCTTTGAACCCCTCATTCGGTCTCCCCGATTCTCAGTGCATTTTTATTGTTGTAGTAGAATTTAAGCATTCAAGTGCCAGCTCTAGAGGCTAAGAAATTTCTCTTAAAATGCAAAAGGGAGGAATTCTCTTATTGAAATAAGTCAGCCTGATGTTTAGATATTGTATTTGAAAGCGCGCATAATGAAAATTAGGTATTTGACAAATTTGAAATTGAGAAATTATTCTTAACATTTCTGTTTTTTCCTGATAGAAATCAAAAGAACACTCACCTGGCTTTGAAGCAATAGAAAGTCATATATTTAATTTCTGCCTATTCTTCCTTTTATCAGGAGTCTCTGGTTTATGCAAACAGGAGTCTAGAAGCAGTTCCAGGTGAAAAGGTTCTGCGAGACAAAAAGGAACAACGTGATCAGCAAAATCGCCTGAAGGAAATAGATCATCAGCTGAAATCCCTAGAGAACAATCTTGTAAGTCTCCTGTTTTTGTTGTATTTTTTTTTTCTACTCAGTTTGAAAACTTTGGAGTTTATCTTTCCATGTGTCTCTAAATAAAATCAAATTCTGCAACCTTGTGTAAATTCCTGAAGCAATCCCCAAAGAAAAGTACAAGCAGAAGTCTCAAATAATTTTTCTTAATCTGGGAAACACATTTTTCAGTTGTAATGCATGTTTCCCATTAACATAGTGTCTTTCAAAGCGAAAGAAATTATTCTCTTCTCTTCCTCCATAGAGGGGAATAACATAAACAATCATATATAAATGCATCCTAAAGGGATTTTTGTATGGCTCATACAATTCAGTGTTCTTTGGAGGACCAGGTCTGATGGGAATGTTGTATAGACTAAGTTATTGTGTGAGTTAGTTTTGCTGAATTCATTTAGTGTGTTTTTGTAAATTAATTTTCATTTTATGCATTAATTTCATAGGTTCATGGGTGTTTAAAATAGGAGCATGTAAGTAAAATGGTAGTAAAAAATCATTACTGTTTTAGAATAAGTACATCAAGTCTCATCCTTATTACTACTTTGAATAAAAGCAGGTAGAGGGAAGGCAATTTAAAATTTGAGAGGAGCCTAATGTTAACTTAGTAGGCAGAAATTATGTTTATTTCTAAGTCATAGAGCCAGGGCTGACAAACCAAAACCTTTGTGCCTTGCTCAAGTAACATATTACTATTCCTTTTCAGTGGGTATAATTTATTACGTTACTCTTAAGTTACAGTAAAGAAATTTAACTAAAAACTAGTGACAGGGGAACCTCAGAGACTTCAGCAATCTTTTTGCTTATTTTTACATATAGAGTGTATGTACGGTTTGATCTCTGCTGAAAGAGCTATAAAGCAGCCTATGCCGAAAATATATAAAACATTAAAAAACCAGATTAATTCAGAAGGAAAGTATCTAAGATGATACTGTATCTAAGATGATACAGTTGTCATTTATTTGGCCTGAAAGCCAGTGTTGGTATTTGTTTTTATGTTGGATCTTTCATAATCTTTTAAGAGGTCAGAATGAAAATTTCCATTTTAAAATTTAATTTTTTTAAATTTTATAACTTTGTACAAAACTTTAGAGGTTTTACTTGTTCAGGTGAAGTCAGGAATTAAACTGCTGAAGACTCAAAAGAACATACTGTATTATGGAGCTGGCAGTAGCGGCTACAACCTGGATATATATGCATATTTTTAAGATTTTAACATCTTCATTTAGTGTTATTTTTCTGCTTTGAGATGAGAAAGCACTTGTCTCAGCATAGAATGTGCTGTGTGGAGAAGACAAACTAATGCAATAGTGTACGAGGGCCTGAGGTGAGATAACATCTCACATGAGTAACCTGATTAAGCTGGATTTTTACTAGGAAACCCCAAGTATGTTGGTACATTAGCAAGAGGCATCAGTATATGCAAATGAAGGTGGTGATGATCAGGAATAGCGAGCATGGGTTTACCGAGGGTAAGTCATGCTTGACCAACCTGATTGACGCCTTTGATGAAATGATCAGGGGGATGGCAGGGCTGCCACTCACTTGGATTTAGGCTGGAGGAGTGGGCTGACAGGAACTCTATGAAATGGGTGAAGGACAAATGCAGATTTCTGCATGAGGGAGGAGTAACTCCCTCTCACAGTGCGAGGTGCAGCCTGGCTGGCCAGGGAGCAGCCCTGCTGAAAAGGACCTGGCATCATTGTGGACAATAGACTGGACATGAGGTGGCAGCGTGCCCTGCAGGGCTGAAGGTTAACAGGTGTACTTGGCTGTATCAACATGAGCATAACCAGGGAAGTAACTGCTCCCCTTGACCTGGTACTCATTAGACTGTAGAGTATTGCTTCTAGTTTTGGGCTCCTCAGTGAAGAAAGGTGTTGACAGACCCGAGCAGGTGCAGCAGAGGGCCACTGAGATGGTAGGGGGCTGAAGCACTTCACCTGTGAGGCTGAGGAGCCTTGGTTTGTTTAACCTGGGGAACAGGTGGCTCAGGCGGACCTAAGAGTAGCTTTCCAATAACAAAGAGGGTACAGTGTAGTCAGAGCGGCAGTATCTTTACTGAGTTACATGATGGGAGAACAAGAGACAATATTAATAAATTGAAACGGGGAGAGTCCAGCTAGATTTGAAGAACAAAATACATCTGAGAGTAATTAAGAATGGGAAGCAGGTTGCATGGAGAGACTGAAATCTCCGTCTTCGAAAATTTTGCAGACAAAGCCATAAGGCATTTTACCTGATCTCGTAGCTGACACAGCTTCAAACAGCAGGTTGGGCTAGAGACCAGCTGACACACCTCTTCCCAGTCTGATGATTTTTTGATTCTACAAGGAAAAGTTTCAAGAATTTTAATGCATTTCTCAGGTGGTAATCTTTCTTTATTAACACTATATTGAAGGAAAGCTGGTAATTTTTCATGGCTGGGCATTGTAGAAATTTGTTTCTTGAATTTAACTAGTTTTAGTGTTTTTCATGTAGTCATAAAAACATCAATATATTGAGTTTGTTGTGTCATACCAAAAATCCATGTAGTCTACCTTTGGCTTGTGGAGGTCTTTATTCAGCAGTAGGCTTACCTTTTACATTAATCACTTAGGACAAATACTATTCCAGTTAACCTTTATAGCCATCAAAACCAGATCTACAGTGCGAATCAAAAGCTGTGTGATTCCAATAGTGGTGTAACCACAGTGGTATAATCTCAGTTACTGGTAGCACTGTCGTTACATCTGCAGAGTTTATCCTGGCAGTCCTGGAACTGCATGGCCAATATGGTTAGGCTTCTAGAAGGTTTAAAGCTAATTTGGATAGAACTACATGCAGTTCAGTCTGGTTTGAGGACTAAAAAAAAAAGCCTAGTGACATGTTCTTCCTGGCATCAGTTTTACGTACTCTTGGAGTGTGGGAACAAAGACTTCAGAGAAGGAGACAGTGATCACTTTAGTGGCTGTTCACTTCTGTGTCATTACAGTAAGGCAGTGTATTTAGCTCTTATCTGTTCACAGCACCAAAACAATAGTAGACCTTCATTTTAATGAACTGCTCTATTATGTTAGACAGTTGAAAGATGAGAGGCAAGTAACTGGAGGAATTCTGTGAAACAGTATATTGAATAGGTTTATGGGTAAACAGATAAAATAAGTCTGCGCATTGTAATTTTTCTCCTAGTCATTGACCTTTATATCACTTTTTGTCACTGCTGACCTTGTTCATGAGGCAAACACAATCTGAGGAAGTGCGTCTGGGAACTGTACGATAGTCTACATCAGGCCTGGGAAATGCAGTGGGCTGCTGACTCATGCAAATATTTTGTATATAAATGGGTCAGTTCCAAGTCTCATTTGGGTTATAACAGTATTGTTTGGTATCACATTACATGCAGACTCTTGCAACATACCACACATTTTTCCTTGACTTGATTGTGTGTATTTAGAACTCTGAATTGATAGACTGTAATGTTAATTTACTGTGTTTATAAACACAGAGTATGTCCTCTGCACCCGTCATGGCCAGACTAGCATTGCTGCGTGCTATGCAGCACCTGGTAAGGCTTCTACAGGGGGACATAGTGTCTTCTTATCAGTTGCTGCTCTGTAACATGACTCTCAGATCATAGCTTATGGGTATGAAATGTTTGTGTAGTAGGTCCTCTGTGAGACACTTTGGTTGCCAGTGTAAAGAAAGACGTATTCAGCTCTGAATGAAAGTCGGTTTTTCTTTCTAACGGTAAAGTAAAATATGTAGAAAATGTACACTTTTTTCTGTGAACAAAGAACAGCCTTCAGAAAATACTCCTTTTTTTTGGTTTCGTGACCATGACACCTTCTGCTCTAATTTCTGGAAATACAGCTTTTATAGAGAAGATTGGGCAAAACAGCATGGCATTACCTTCTGATGCAACACACATAATTGAATAACATTTTTCTTATCTGGTGTGGGGATGCCTACCAGTCAGATAACATATGCAGTGTTCATTTGGTGCCTTGTTTCTATACCAAAGTAATATTTTGGCTGTTAGTTCTGCAACAACATTAGCAGCAAAACTGCTCTCTGCCAGGAAACTGCACGATGAAAAGCTAAACTGAATGCTTGTGTTGAGGGGGGAGTACATATATGGCATGTTTCCAGAGTAATTTAATTATTTCTGGAAATACTGTTCATTATTCAATAGGTGGCACTCTTCACTGTATGTCAGAGGAAGGATGCCTAAGCATGGCTCTAGGGGATATTATTACTGGTGAAAGCGTCATTCGTGTGGTGTAAAATACAGGTTGTGAGAGACTGCCTCTCACTTCTGGCAAGATTCCAGATGTGCAGCTTTTAACATTCAGTTATTTTTCTAGCTTAGCTTATTAAATTGTCTATTTAAAATTCACATTGCTTTTAAATTTCTCCTGTACTCCTTCCTAAACCACTGTAATTCACTACATAAAATTGGAAATAAATTCTCTGTTCTGAGCAGAGGGGGTGATTTGTCAGCAGTTAGGAATGTTGTTTCTGAATGCATGATTATACTGGGCTGTATAATTTTAAAATACAGTATTTTCTAAGTTTAATGTCTGAGAGATGACTTTTAAAATGCATTTTAAAAAACCCCTCAGATAAAATATTTTCTTGTTGTTGGTTTTTTTGGTTGGTTTTTGTTTTGTTTTGTTTCCTAGGTGGAAATTATGAATAATTTAACTAAGCAGAATTTAGCTCTGTGTGTTAGGGAGTAACTTCCAGTAGGTATAAAGGTAACTTTATTAATATTTTTTTTTTAGTGTATGGTAGAATGCTGTATTTCTTCCACTACTGCAAAATGAATTATTCAAATGGATTCGTATAAATGGCAGCTTTACTCTGACTTTCTCTTCCAGGGGGAGGAATACATTCCTCTTATTTCTGGAGCAGGCTATTTAGTAGGTGCTGGCTTCTGAAGTTTTAACATTTATGGATTCCTCCACTACACCTTACCTCATGTGGGCTCTAAGACTTCATGGTTT